CTTAGAGTATAAGATTCCAACATTCAGAAATAGTGGAAGTATTGCCATGGATGAAGATGTGTCCGACCATTCGGCGATTCCCCAGTTCTAGGTATCCAGCGAAATGTGGGTTGGGCTAAGTACAAGAATAGTCTGTAGAATACAATGCTTCCCTTCGATAGTCAGAACTAGCCGAAAAGATGGGTTTTTTTCTATCGTGGAAATGACCCAATGCAGGCCTACCTCCTCACTGCCGCCTTCCTAAACCCAGAAAAAGAAGCTGTTATGAAGCGACCAAGTCAAGATCTAAAGTCTAATTGAGTTCTACATCCCACGGAAGAACTGGCATGTCGCTCAACCCACATTCCAGTTAAGAATCCCACCAAACAATGTGATTTAGTTCACAGTGTGCAGGGTTCGACTTAAAAGTCCTAAAATTATTTTATAATCAACTCCATGTCAATAAAAACGACGCTGACATAGAAATTCACAGCTACTCATCGAATACTAATTTATCATGTAGATTCGAGAGCTATTTTGCCGAATTCGCTTTGGAATTGAGAAGTTTCCAAACTTTTGACGCGCCATTTCTTATAAAAATTCGTATTTTTCAAAAGCGATTCTCGTTTTCAAAAAATTATGTTGCTCATCGTAATCTACACTTGATTCTGTATATAATATGTGAATTTGGGACAATTTCATTGTCTATTGGCTACGCTAGATCAAAAATAAAAAAGTTTCCAAACTTTTGACCGCTACTGTATGTAAACAATCATCATGTCTTGAATGTCAGCGTGAATTAGCGGTCGAATAATATTAGGTTGTCTCATAAAGTAGTGTCGCTTTTTTTCAACCAAAAAAATTTTGATCTAAATCCCCATGCTTTTATAGCGAGTTATACTAGCTCTAACTTTATCTTCCCTTGGGAGAAATCAATCAATGATGTACCCTCTACTTATGCATGACCTCTTCTAAACATTACACTATTAGGTTTCCCAACAAGTCGCGTCGTTCCATTTCCAGACCTGGTTTTTCAACCAGAACTCGACGGTCGAGCACCATTACCTGAGATCTAGGTCGAAATTTTTTTATAGCCGAGACATTGAAAAACTAGTAGAATTTAAAGAACAAGTCATGACTAAGTTAGGAATGTACGCCTGGTTGATTTTCTCATCTTCTCAAGGATAATTTTTTTTTCAAAGAAATGCGGTCACTTTCGTGGATAAAGCACCTTACTCCTAAACACCTAAAATTCGAGCTAATTCCTAACAGAAGAAGTGCTCACAAAAGATACACCAGTTGATATAAAACAATAGCGTTTCAGAGGAAGAATTTCAATTTGAAAATTGCCATGGCTTATCGGTCGGCCAATTCGAAAAGAAACAGGGCAAACCTTTTTCGGCAACCTAAGGGTGGAATGTTCAGAAGAGGTCATGAGTAAGTAGAGGGTACATCATTGATTGATTTCTCCCAGGGAAAATAAAGTTAGAGCTAGTTGTCGGTTTGGTCAATTTTTGTCGGCTGGACCTCCCATTTCGCAGGCCTAAAATTTGAAAACCATGGAACATAGATGGAAGAGAACACAGCCTTGTAGAGCAGACAATTCTCTTTCGAATGGTATATGACTCGATGTAAAAGCATGGGGATTTAGATGAAAATTTTTTGGTTGAAAAAAAGCGACACTATTTATGAGACAACCTAATATTTGATGCTAATGATGTTGAAACAGAAATTCCTATCTATCATTATCGTATGTCTTCAAACAGCCTCTACACACATTCGCAGGAAATTTAGGCAAGGTAGCGGTCGAAGGGAGAGTAGTGCTGACGATGGAACGCAATGAAATAAAAAGGAAATTGGTAGTGGTTTAAGTAATGCTAGGGAATACTGTATTCTGATTAGTGTCGTTGTTGCAAATGACCTTGATCAATACGTTGTTTTGGTTTATGCGCAGGAGGGATACCTCGAGCGATCGACCCATAGATCGAGAGAACATGCAAAGTACCCCGGGTCATTAGAACAACGACACGCCCATTAAGGCTCGCTATAAATACCGTGGGTCACTCATATCCTGGCTCCTGTTTCTTTGTTTTTACTTTGTAACTATTCTGGTTCGTTGCTCTTATTTGTAATAAATCTTGTTCATCGTTACTCTTGCATAAAATTCATTGGTAACTCGGATCCGAGTATTGATCACTATTAACTTCGTATAGCATACTATTATACGTAGGACGATAAATAGTTCGCTTGGGGGCCAAGCCAGTAACTTGGTAAAAAGTTACATTTCCAGATAAACTCCAAATATGAACGCGTCTGAAACAAGCGTCGGTATCGACAGCCCGATGGAGGACGGTGAAACCGTGTCCCAACCATTGAATGATTGGAACGATCTCGGGGGTGAGTTGTCAATCAGAGGATCTGAACATATGTTTTCAGAATATCCTTGTACAACTAGACGACGCCCCTAGTAACCAAATCAGGCATTTGGCTTGTGTAAAGCGGAGAAATATTTTAGACGCAGTACGCGGTTCGCTACAGTGCGCGCTAATTAAGGTGAATGAAAGTCTAGAAATAAGAGTGCCTGCCGCTGACACGACATTTTTTGATGAAATTCAAATGTCTCAGGCAGAGCTCCATGACTTTTTGCCCAGCGTTACTGCTCACAGCCGCATTCTTTGCGAAGTAGCCAAGAGTTTGGAGTGTGAACTTGACCAAGTCTCAGAAACAGTAAATAGAAAATGTGCAAAACTTTTAGAGTTGCAAAAAGAGAAAGACGAACAAGTCAAAGTAATAAAAGACCTCAAAGATTCAAACAATCTTTTGCAGGAGCAGGTCAGAAAGTATGGGAGGAAACACATCGGCAGCGATGGGGAGTACCTATGTTCAACCTAATACAGGTGAGAAAGTGGATGACTGGCATGCAGTCCGCAGCCATTACGCATGTCTCAAAGACAGAGAAGTTGATCATTTTATTCAGACTCGGTGCGGGTCGCGAGTTACGAGCGCTGGGACATCATTCAAGCCGAACGGTCAAAGTCAGCAAGATCGTCTCGAACGTCCTCTCCGGCATATTCCCAAGAATCGATCAGTGGTGAGACTTCTTCTGTTGCGTCATATAATAGTAGGACCAGGCCAGTCCGTAGTGATAGGGTGGATGATATGTTCACAGTTTTTCGTGAAGTTTTCAAGGCCCAGACGGTGGCAAATGTTCCTAAATATGACGGTAAAAATTCTCTAACGGATTTCCTGCGCGCATTAGAGGTTAAATTCCCTTCTGCTCTATGGACGGATTCCGATAAACGAGATATCCTTGTAAATCACTTAGAGGGAATAGCTCTATCTATTTACAAGGGGTTGCCACATGCGGTTCGGGAGGGAACCTATGATGAGATTGTCAGTGCCTTGAAGATGGCCCGTAGAAACCCTTGCGAACGACTGAAAAATGTACGAGAGTGGGAACAGCTTTCAAAGAGACCAAGCGAATCGGTAGCCGAGTTCTGCTGTAGGATGGAAGACTTGTCCCGAAGGATACATCCTAGCTCTGAAATGGATTTCATAAGGGGGTCCAAATTGTACTCCTGCTTGCAACATTGGCAGAATTCGTATCACATGTTAGCTGCCCTAGATGTCCCAGATGGTAACATTTACACGGAGGTTAAACGGGTGGCCATGCGGTTGGAAAAACTGCAGGTTGATGCAATTCCATCCTACAGCAGGCACCAAGGATATTTCCAGAAAAGGGTCGTTCGATCGGCAACCGATTGAACCCCAAACAAATTGTCCTGCAAGTGGGGCTGGTGACCAGGCAGGAACCCGACCATTTGCCAAGCCCTTTTGCAAATGCAACATTTGCGGCAGGTTTGGCCATGTAGCAACGGATTGCAGGAGAAAAGAGAGACCCACAAACCACAGTTACCGGGAAAACGGACCCACTGATGGTTTAGTAGAGCGCGGAATAGCGCAGCAGTAGGTAGTTCCC